TTAATATTCAAGGTGAAGCTATGCTTTTAACTTTATTGAAATTTATTTAAACTTCTTCACAGAAAGAAATTACATATTGTTTACCCAACTATTGAGACTTGTTCTTGCTTTGTTGGTATCTTAGGGTCTCCTTGTAAACATCAAGCAGCAATTACTTTAAATTTTCAAGAAGAGACATCAAATTTTATTGACACATTCACTATTGATGATCGAATGAACTATTTTTATATTGCAACTAGTAAATATTATTTTATAATACATATTATTATTATTATTTAAGTATTTACAACTAATCTATATTTTAGATTCAGTAATTCAGGATAGGCTATTTTATACCTCTTTATATTCACGAACAAATACAGCATCTAATGACAATACGATCGATCAATTAAAAGTTCAAGAATTCGCAATTTCAAAATATATATCAAGTACTAATGACAATATAGTTGATCAATTAAAGTTCAAGAATTTGCAATTTCAAAATATACATCAAATACAAATGACAATATAGTTGATTAATTAAAAGTTCAAGAATCTACAATTTTAAAATATACATTAAATATTGAAGTTATAAGTGAAAAAATCAGGTAAGTATTTAGCAATATCGTATGACTTCCTAACAGTTATTTTCTAATAGATTATCTAATCTATATCATGCAGTATAATAATTTAGTTGCAATATGTATCAGTTTAATAGCCTATTAGGGGAATCAAAAGTAAAAAAATAATACTATTTATGAAGAATTTTTTTAATATTAATTCTTTATTTATTTTTTGTTAATACATAGTATTATCAAAGATACAAATAATAATAAAAAGCTAAACCATATTGAATCTATAACTAGTTTTTTTTGTAAGATAGAAAATGATATTAAACAAAATATATAACTTCTTTTAGCTTTTGAGAAATTTCAGAAAAGATATTATGCCGCAAAAAATTGTTCAGAAAATAAGTTAATTTCATTTGTCTACCAATATACAAATAGTCCTATAACAGTTCGAAGTGGTATAAAGATACCTATTCAAATAGCATCAGTACAAAGAAGAAAAGGTTGCATCACATAGTACAAAAAGGAAAGCTTCTGGAAGAAAACCATTAGAAAATAAAAAAATTGAGAATTCACATGAAATGCAGTCAAGAAAAAAATGAAAAACAATACGAAAACCACATAATTTAGCACAAAATATTAACAATCAAGCTAAATAATTGTAATTAGCTTTTTAATTTTTCATAAAATTTTTTTTCAAACTTTAAGATATATTATTGTTGTTATAAAAGCAATTATATAATCCAAATAAATAATACATAGTTCTCTTTTGCTTTATAATAATATAAACTAAGAATTAGAAAGTAACGCTTTTAAAAATTTCAAGCATAAGAATAGCACTCTAATTGCGAGAAATTACAATTTTGATATATTGAACTTTACAAAAAAGTGTTGAAATAATGATCTCTCTAATTTGTCAAGTTGTTATATAAAATATGCACATATATATATATAGTCTATTTAAATAATGCTGATGTGAATATTATGTATATATAATATCAATATATACAGGTATACGTATTATATACGCTTTTATATAAAAATATATTTTAAAAAATATATATGCAATGAATAATCAATATAAAAGCTATCGTTATATATTTTAATAGTATATTAGTTTATTTTCTACTTGATTTACAGATTACATAATCTGCAATATACATAACTAAGCACAGAATTTTTAAATGCAAACGTCATATACTCTAAAAAAAATTCAGTAGTAAAATCAATTTTTTTGATAATACTCACGATTATCCGCTTTCTTCTATGATTGGTGAGATCAGTACATAGTTTTGCAAATTAACACCTAAGATGTTAATTGATATTGAAAAATATATGATCCAAGATAAAATAGATTCTGAATCTATATATCTTTTACTTTAGCATGACTATTCTAACCATTCTTTGCACAAACATGACTTGTATAATACTGTATATAACATTAGGTGAAAAAATAATCCAGGTAATTTAAATACATTATTAATGTTACAAACTTTATTAAATTGGAAAGATAAAAATCTATTATGAATAGTTAAACTATGACTAGAAACAATATCAAGAAAGTTAAATTCATTAATTTGGATATCTTCTAAACAAAGATACCTTTATGAAAAGTTTTATGATATTATTATATTTGATACTACTGCCAATACAAATCGGTTTTAAATGATGCTCTGTGTTATCACCATAATTGATAACTATTTTAAAACAAGAATTATTGCTTTTTTTTTTTTTTTTTTTTAATATCAAAGTTACCTCATAGTCGGTTGCCTTTATTAGTTTATATGCTAAGCTGATCAAAATTAGCTGCTACTCATTTAGTACATGGTTTTAGAGAGTACAACTAGCTACATGTATAATTTTTGATTGCCTATTTAAGTAGTCTGCCCGAAGGTTCTATACTAGATACTATACCTATAATCCAACTAGAGAATTATCTATTTAAACCCTCTATGCTGCCATATCCTTATAAGGAACCAATACCTACCATAGGAAGTGCCTAACCTAGGCTAATTTACCCTCAAGATAAACTTGCTAGAGCTTTCCATACCCACAATCCAGCTAACCTAGACTTTGATAACTTACGTTGAGTCTAAAAACAGCAACTTGCGAGCTGAAACCGGCCACTACCATTATCTACTTCTGCCCTTGTAGAGTTCACCCAAACCCTAGTACATACTTTATAGACTATCACTAGTTTTAATCCTGACAATCCCAAACTACTAATTTAGATAGCCCGGATGGGCTGTAGCCTGCTCCTGGTCTCCACGGTTAGGTCCTTTTTCTCTGGTTACTCTTCCAGTGGCCTGGTTGGTAGAATGCTTTGCTAAATACTTCAGTTCTGTTCAGTTTTTGCCAGTTCTTCCAATGATGATTTTTTAGTAATACCGCCAAAGATCTGTGCTACCTCTCTACTCGGGTCTTGCCAAGCGAGTATCTATCATTCTTTTCAGTTCCCTGGGTTTACTATGATCTGAAAGCCTATTCGTATAACTTATATATTGCACAAATGCCTATAATTTCTAATCTTTATTGGTGCCACCAAGGTTACAAAGATATTCCAACCAATCAACAGAATGATAGTAGCCGTCGTATAGATAGAATTTTCAAAATTCGTTACTAGTAGATTTTGAACTTTCTACCTAGCCAACATGTCACTTGGGGATGCAATAACTTAACCACTTCACTAAGTCACTACACCCTTAACAAGAATTATTGCTTGTGCTCTCATAGAGGATAAAACTTTAGAAACTTTTCATTAGATTTGTAAAACTCTATTTAATGAAACAGACATTTCTCTAAGAGTAATCTTTAGTAACTCTGATCCTGCTATGATTAGTACTATTAAAAATATATATCCTAATAGTCAACATTTATTGTGTATCTTTCATATTGATCTAAATATATGTAAAAAGCTTAAAGGAAAGTTGAGTACTCAGTTTGAAGAGTTTCATAAAAAATTCTATATTTATAGAAATTTCATTATATAAAGAGTATTTGAATATTAATAGGTTCAATTACTAGATCAGTATTTTATAGTAGCTAAATATCTATCAAAAACTCTTTATACTGTTAAAGAATTCTGGTTTGTCCCATAGATTTGTAAACAATTTACAGCTGATATGCAAAGTACTCAGCAAATTGAATTATTAAATAGGTATATATATAACAAGGTTGATTGTACTACCTCCTTATATGATTTATTATATTGTATTAATGATTATATTAAAGATGAAGAATATTTAGAAAAATTTGAAGTCGAACGAAACTTATTACCAATGATTGGTTTGCCAATATTAAATACTATATTTTTTCAAAAGATTGATAATATTATTAAATAGCATTTGACTCCTATTATGCTTGGTAAGCAATGATCAGAGATGAATAGATCAGTATGTTATGATATTATACACATTACAGAATAGCAACAGTTAATAGAAATATAATAATAATTTTTTTTTTTTTTTTTTGCAATGAGCATTTATTTATTTATATATAGATGAAAACTAATGATAAAGAAATCAATAATGAAATTAGAGAATATGAAAATGATACTTGTCAAATTTTTCTTAAGTTTCTTGTCAAAAATATATCACAGGATGCAATTTTAGAAGTTTGGATATATATTTTACTGGTTTAACTAATATTAGACATTATGTTATATTACTTGATAAAGGTACTCATCTATGTATCTGCCTTTTTCTAATTAATAAAGAGCTAGTATATCGATACTTCTTTTGTGTAGAAACTTATTCTCAATGTGCTATTTTTCATATGTCTCTAATTCTAGCTCGTTGGTATTTGAATTGTAATATCATGTGAGAGATCCTTTACAACAAGTTTCTTCTATTCTGATATGCAAATTTCAATTTGAGAACACTATATTATTTATAAATAATGCTACCTTTTAACATTTTTTTCTGCTCTGCTTATACTATCTAAACCAAAATCAGTATCCAACAAAACAATCTATGCAGAATTATTTGGATTGTCTAAAAAAGTGATCAATTTGGCTATTAAAGCTGATATACAAAAAAAACTCTCAAAGAGACTCAAGATTTTCCTTAATGACACTCAAGACAAAATAAATGAAAATCAACTGAATAATAGTACTAGTAATATTAATAATCCTAATATTACCAGACACAAAAGATGGCCTCCAAAAAGGCTCAAATCATGTGTTAAACATAAAGAAAAAGAAGTTTTTAAGGAAAGTACAAGTACTAATATAATGAATAATAATACTTCGAGTATTATTGAGAAGGATATAAATCATAGTAAGGGCTATAAATGCAGAAAATGCAAACAATACGGTCATTATGCAAAGATATGCTAGTTTTAATTATTTTAAGGGTTGTTATTATATTATGTTATGCTTTATATTAAATATCTGTTATTATGCTATATTGTATTCATTGTTTTAAGTATTGTTACTGCATGCTATATATGTATTTAATGTATTTAAGTTAGTCTTCATTGTTATTAAGATTAAGGTAAGTAATCTTAAGTTTTTATAAGATAGTAAAAAAGAAATGCTGAAGCTGAGACAATATCCATAATAAAGACACAAACTATTCTTTGCAAAACAAAGAATAGCTGGTCAATTTTATTTAAACAAAATAGTATTAGTATTCAAAATCTTTTTTAGCTAAAGGTTAAAAGGTATTTATTTCCAGTTCACTATTACTATTATCAGATTTGGCCATCAATTTTGAATACTACTATTAAGAATACACAAATTCTGTGATTGGTCAATAGTTTTGTAGAACCTCTTAGCCTTCAAATTTTATACTGCTACTATGCTACTTTAATTTTAAATTAGACCCTTAAATCTTTATTCTATGTATAGCTATAGTATGCAAAGTATACATAAACTTAATAAGAATTACAATTATAAAATTTATATAGTTTATTGCAGAATCATCAATATACTTATATATTGCAACCAGTATATAGAAGTCAGAGAATTTACAGTACTTAGAAGCAGTGTAAATTTAAGTGATTGGTTAGTTAACAATTAAAAGGTTTTAGAATTTGTACTATTCATAAAGCACTATCTGTATATTTTTTATTAGAGGTCGTCTTAGTTATATTATTAATAAAATAATAATATATAGTATAGTATTTTGTGTTTATATACCTGCTAACTATAAAATTCATGTGATTATGCTGATCATACCAATCCAGGTTTAAACACACTATGTACAAATAAAAATTCTCATAATAATAATAATAAGTACTTGTTATTAATTAGGTTGTAGATGATAACTAATTATTATCAGGATATAATGCAGAGTACATGCCACAAAGTAGTACATGCTCTACGTTATAAATCCTGATGATAATTAGATTTATCAGCTGCAACTTAATTGATAACATTTTTATTTGTAATGTCTGACGTAAGTACTGTTGTTTTTCATATATATTATTCGATTTTCTAATTATTTAACTTACTTTTACCCTTTCTTTATTTTCACTTACTTTTCACTTTCACTCTCTATTTTTTTTTATCTTGTTTTTTTTTTCGCTTAATTTTTTTCTTAACTTTCATAAGTTTTATACAAGTTTCACAGCTTCCTAGCAAAAAGAAATAAAATCAAAAAAGTGATCAAAAAATTGAGTTATCATATAATTAGAAAGTGATCGAATAATATATACAAAAAAACATTTAGTGCATACATAGGACATGTCAGATAATAATAATAATAATAATAATAATAATAAATTAAATTAATAATAAATAATAGTAAGATGCCAATATTTATATTTATATGTAATAGTAATAAATAATATATCTGTGATATCTGAGTATTAACTTTTAACCCTTTTTTTAATATAATTATATCTTTCTGGATATAATTTTTCTATATTTTTCTCATATTGATATCTATGTCTTTCTTAAAAAATGTGAAGTAATTAATTGTCATTAGTATGGTATTTTGCAATATTATATTTAATTTTTAGAAAAGACTTTTAAGAAAATAGTTCTCAAATTTACTTTAAATTTTTACAGGGTTTGGTTTATTTTGTTTATTTAAACTATTGCATATCCAAAAGATATCAGTCTATTATATTAATATTAATAATTATCTGATATTTTATATATAAAAACAAATTACTAAATATAACAAAACCATCTATAAATATCAGATACTAATAGAAATTATTAAAAATATAAAAGTTTTCATATTTTGATAATTTCTATCAAGACCTGATACTTATATCTAAATATCCTGAGTGCTTTCAAAAGTTTATTATCGCTAATATTAATATTCTTATCACTACTACTGCTTTTACTACCACTACTTTCACTATCACTGCTTTTATTATCATTAGGGCAGTATTATTTATTACTTGATTTTTTTTTATCAGAGACTTACTTTCTCCTCCTTCTTACTATATATCTTGATCAGGTCTTTATATATAATTTTAAATTTTTTACTCTCCTCCCTCCCTAAAAAATTATCTGATTTTTGTCACATCCCTTATTACTAATAATAATTAGTAAAACTAGAGAAATCTGTTTTCTTTCTATATATATTTATATACAAATAGTCAGCTTTATATAAAGTTATAATACATAATTCCTGATATATATTACTAGTTAAATTTATATTTTAACTAAACAATACCTTATACTATATAGTACAAATTATTATTATTATTTTTTTTTTGAATGTCAAAGTAATCTCATGGTCAGTTGCTTTTATTAGTTTATGTGCTAAGATGATTGAAGTCAGCTACTACTCATTTGATATATAGTTTTAGAGAGTACAACTAGCCACACATACAATTTTTGATTGTCTATTTAAGTAGTCCACCCGAAGGTTTTATACTAGATGCTATATCTATAATCTAACTAGAAGATTATCTATTTAAACTCTCTACGCTACCATATCCTTATGAGAAACTAATATCTGCTATAGGAAGTACCTGACCTAGGGCTAATTTATTTTCAAGATAAACTTGTTAAAGCTTTCCATACTCACAATCTGGCTAATCTAGACTTCAGTAACTTATGCCGAGTCTGAAGATAGCAACTTGCAAGCCAAGACCGGCTGCTACCATTATCTACTTCTGCCTTTGTAGAGTTCATCCAAACCCTAGTATACACTTTATAGACTATCACTAGTTTTAATTTCAACAATCCCAAACTACTAATCCAGATAGTCCAGAAGAGCTGTAGTCTGCTTCTGGTCCCCACAGTTGGGTCCTTTTCCTCTAGTTACTCTTCTGGCGGTCTGGTTGGTAGAGTACCTTGCCAAACACTTCGGTCTTATTTAGTTTTGCTAGTTCTCCTAATGATGATCTTTCAGTAGTACCGTCAAAGATCTGTGCTATCTCTTTACTTAAGTCTTGCCAAATGAGCATCTATTATTCTTCCCGGTTTACTGGTTTACTATAATCTGAAAGCTTATTTGTATAACTCATATATTGCACAAATACTCTATGATCTTCTAATCTTTGTTGATATCACCAAGATTACAGAGATATTTCAACTAATCAACAGAACAACAGTAGCCATCATACAGATAGAATTTTTAAAATTCGTCATCAGTAGGTTTTGAACTGCCTACCTAGCCAACATGTCGCTTGGAGGTACAACAACTTAACTACTTCACTAAGTTACCACACCCTTATATAGTACAAACTATAACTTAATTATTGAGTAATATATGTATTTAAATTATAATTGGTATATATTATATATTACTAGTAGACTAGTCATGTTAAAAAATATTCTGATCATATAATTATTGAT